ACGTGTGCTCTTCCGATCTATCAAGAAATTTTTTTTTGCTCATAATGTTTACAAATAACGAACTGGCAAGTGATACCAAAGAAAACTGGCCTCCGACATATTTATTTTTTTTAAAGATAATTGTTTTTTGCACATTAAAAAAATTATAAAATAAATTTTGAATAAATGTTTAAAAATAAGAATTAAAACACAGCATTAATTGAGAGGTAAGGCATCAGAATATTTGTCTTTTTGTATTTAATCCATGAAGTGTTGTAGGATTGAAAAATCAAAATTCAAAAATTATGTATTTGCAGTTTATTTTTTTATATTTTTACATTTGCAACATTTATTTGTAATACATTCTTTTTGACGTATTAACTGTGATCACATTGTTGTCAGATTCTCGTGTTTCTGCAAATCAAAAGTTCATATTCATTAATCAATAATCACTTTAATATTATTATAAAAATTTTTACTTCTTGTTATTTAATGATTATTTTGTCATAGAAGTTAATATAATACTTTTTGAAAGAACAAATCTTACATATGTATACGTAAACATATACATGTCTTATATGCATATATTTAAACAAATACACATCACTTTTAGTAGTTTAACAGATTAAAAAATTATGTATTTAAACTTTTTCATGAAATATATATAGTTATTATAATTTAAATAAAATTATTAAGATTACGTAAATCTATTTGATATGTAATTAAATTAATCATAAAAATAACTATTATTTGTGTTATACCATACGACACAAAAAAAATTGTGGTTGAAAGAACATCGTAACAAAAAAATGTTTACTTGATTATATGATAAAAGCAAATTGTACCTGTGATTATGAATAAATTTTGCGGCACTGTCCCTTAATTTTTGCGTAACCTTTTTTACAGGGAACGTCTATAAGGACGGCTTCAGTAACCACCATCGTGACAAAAGTTGATATTAATACAAAAGAGATCATAAAATATGTAATAAACGTGCTGTTATGGCTATTCTTCATGTTTTCAAAGAATACTAAATGCTACAACAGAGATCAGATCT